CCCCCCATAAACACCCTCGACATTTGGTCAGTCAATATTCAATAGGGATATGATTTAGAGTTGCAAGATGAAATTAAAGGAGCGTTACAGGTATTTTCATTATTTAACTATATTTCGACAATACTGAAAGCTTGGCTGCCGCAAGTAGAAAATCTCATACTAACTGTGTTCAAATTATAGTTTTAACTTCGTCAACTGTGCAGAGATTAATTGGAAAGGCGATATATATTACGGACTCAGCGACATATCGGCATCAAACTGGCCACCGATTCCGTGTCAAATTGGCAATGGGTCCGTAAATAAGATACCACTTGTGAGAACACACACATATTGTTTTTCCACCAGAGATGGGTTAAAACGTGGTAATAGAGAAATATGATCAGGCCCATTACGTGTCAAGGGGTCGGTTCTTCAGAGATCCGATATGCGGTCAGTCATCATGTCGTGGTCCTGCAACTTAAATTGCAACGCAATCCGGTATCTTCCGATCGATTGTAAAATACCGAGTATGTAGCAAGAGCTGCCAATCCTTCAGTTCAGTTTCCTGAACACTTTGTCATTCGCACCTTTCAAGGAGCATACCCAGAATGATAACAAGCTCTCGATGAGTCACGCTTATTCGAAATCTTCTACACCTTGTGTAGCTGTTGGAGTAAGTAGTAAATTAAATAATATTTGTTAAATGTTTTAAATTTCGAATTTGAATATTGCCAGGTCCGCAATGTTAGTTACCCTGTCAAACCCATTATATACGCCAGATTATTGAACTGAAGTTTTGCTGATATGTATTAACACAACAATCATGCAATTAGTATTTACGGTAAGCTAATTATTTACAACAACATCATAGCCAGTAGGTAGTCGCGTATGAACAAATCAAATATTGCATTCCAACTATAGTAGCCTAAAACTCTTTAGCTCGTATAAATTTATATAAATACCAAAGTTTATTTTCCAAATTTAGTTAATAACTGCAAACTCATAAATATCTTTAAAAAAATATATTGAACAATTTTAGCTTGAAATACCGCAGCGTATTTTGACTCCTTAAACTAATTATTGTTCAACAGTTTACCAACTTAAGTTTGGCGCGAAATATTTGTTTAATATGCACACATACTCATATGCAATACTTTTGTAGACATAACGGCTCGAAGCTACGGCAGCCTTCATATTACTTAAGATTACTTGTTACTCTCTTAACGGTAATTATTATAATCAATTTACATAAAGTTGTTTGTGTTAGGTTTCCACCACTATTATCCGTGCAAAATAAACAGTATACAGGGTGACAAGTATGACGCAAGCAAACTTAATAAACAGCATTGATACATATTATTTCTATGTGTAAAGAACTTTTAAATGAAAGTGAAGCTCCCGATGTCTCAGTGTATTTAGTAGCGAGGGGCAGAAGGCGTGAAACTCTAATATTTAGTCATTTCACTAAGTACACCTTAGCTTATATTGAACTCAGTGGTTGGTAATTTATCATGGTAGACAGTCTACGTAGTGCCAGAAGGGCTTCCAGTCCTTCTTGAAAGCTACACAGAAACCAGAAACTTTTTCCTTTGAACTTTCGGCAACGAAGTTGTAGATTTCGGTTATAAAATTTTTAGAACATATGTTTTAGAGTTCATTTATAATGAGCTAAACGAGACTAATTTTAGTTGACCGAACAATATTCGTTTCACGAGCTTAGCCATAAGAAAATAACCAAGCAAAACAGGAGAGTCCTTGTTTATATTATTCAGTCTCTTAACTCAAAACTAAAAATTTACCTTCAATTTGTTACATATTAACCAAATTTTTTAGTTAGTTTGTTTTTCATACCTATAACAATAAAAAACGAGTATTTTTATGGTTTGTTGGTAATTGCAGAATTTTAATTATTATTGCAATTATACGCTAATAAAAGTAAAAAACTAAATTATGTAGCAACAAATGTATTGCATAATATGAAGTCACAAAAATATACTCGTATGAAAGCGAAAAGTTGATTCGTCAAAGTGAAAACACCTCGTAGTTTCTTGGGGAATCATATATCATTTCATCAAATATTACACGGACTGGTTCAAACTGTGTGCGCAAACCAAATCAATAAGCCTATTTTGATATCAGAAAGTAGTTAATCTCAACATCCTTTTTAATCGAAGCAATACGTTTGGTAAATGTTTTGGGTATAGAGAAATCGACTAGAGATCACAGAAAGTTTGCTTGAAAACGTAGCTGCAGACACTGAATTCATCAAACACATCATTAATGTTGACAAGAAAAGGGTTTATGAATGTAAAAAATATCTTTGTCTATGGAAAATTGGATTAAGCGTTGACATCTTCTTCTTGATTGGCGTAG